AGCTTGTTAGATTATCAGAAAAGCAGTGTTGGTGCCAAGATTTATATTCTTATCTATGAGTCAGGGCAAGATAAATGACAGTCCCTTCAGCTGAGCCTCTTGGAAGGTATGTGAGCACGTGGCAGAGGGTTTATTGTGATGAGTGTAGGCACCAGAGATTGGGGAGATGGCGGAACCTTTGGCAGTTGTATGGGACTGCAAATGGGGCCATTCACCAAGTGTACGTGTCAATGTACAGTACTGTGCTGCTGGGCAAGAAGCAATGTGACTGCTTCTGGGGGCTGGGGCCGTCAGAAGCAGGCTGATCTATCCAGGCAGCACGGGTTCTGAGGCTAGAAGTGCTGGAAAGCAAAGGCCTCTTCGAGGCAGAGCTCTCTCCCTCGCCCCCTTTTCATTCTCCATGTATTCTTTCTGTGTATTTTGTGTATGTTACGTATGTGGGAGGGCGAACTTACAGCATGGATTGTGTGAGTGGGGGTCAGAAGACAACTTTTGGGAATTGCTTTTCCTCTGCCATGTAGTCTCAGGGATCAAACTCAGGTTGTCAGATTTGGTGGCAGGTATCCTAACCTGTTGAGCAATTCTGCCAGCCCTGCTATGGCCCTTAATCCTGGTTTCACTGATGATGAACGTGTGTATGTGTGTGCGTCTGTGCATTTGGATATTGCATCCTCTTCACTGGCTCTCCATCTTAGCTTTTGAGATAGCATCTCTTGCTAAACTTGCAGCTGGCAGAGTTGGCTAGGCTGCTTGCCAGACAGCTCCAGGGGTGCTCTTGCCTGCTTCCTTTGTATTACTGGGATTGCAAGGCTTGTGCTACTGAGCCTGGCTTTTTTTTTTTTTTTTTTTTAACATTGGTGCTGGGAATTGAACTCAGGTCCTCATGCTTGCACAGTGAATACTTTACTGAGCCTTCTTCACTGCCCCTCTCCTCAGAAATTTTAAGGTGTCATTTTAAAATCTCTGATGTCTAAAAATTTTACAAGCTTGTTTTGTTTTGGAGGTGCAGGGGGAAGTGTTGAGGTAGGGGAGACACCTGAAGAGCTTGTCTATGAAGTGTCCCCAGAGGTACCATTCTAGGTCCTAGCGGTGGAGGGATGAATAGGGAGCTGCCTTCTACTTACGGGAGATGGGCAGTACACAGACAAAACATGCCTGCACAGTGAGCAGAGGGATTCAGAAGCTAAAGGAACAGGTCACGCTGGAGGGAAACCACTTGCCATTAGCTGGCCGCAGTCTGCTGAGGAGGGGACCGGACAAGAACATTGGCAAACTTGCTCAGAGCAGAGGAAGTAGTGGGTGCTACCAGGAAGGCTGAAAGCCATATAAAAATAAGGTGCAGGTTCCTGAGGTCTGGAGGAGCAGGGAGCAAGTGTCTGCTTCTGTCATGGTTGGGAAGGATATTAAATACTGAGCAAGGTCAGAGGTGGGAAGGCCAATGGGAAGAAGTGCAGGCTTAGGAAGGAGCCTAAACCCATTCTTTTCCCTTTCTGGAATCTGTCATGGGTGATCAGGTGCTGAGAAGGCTACAAAGTCAGTACTTGAGTCCTGGCGGGCTCTAGTTTTCTGGGAGGATCTGAGCCTCTCTCTTTTCCTCAGGACCTGATGTCTTCGAAATCCCAGCACAACATTCCCAAATCCAAGAGTCCCAATGGCAAGGCTGAAGCTCAAGGCCAATGGGGCCGCGCCTGGTAAGGAGCTCACCTGTTTTACTAGCTGGAGGGTAAAGTGGACTCTCAAAGGTCTCAGCCTCAGGGATGTTATGGACATAGAAAATAAATTATTATTTTAAAGACAAATGAAAGGTAAGCTGTTTCCCATTCCACAAAATAAAAGATTGGAAAGAAGAGCCTAGAAACCATTTTGGGCAAGCTGTCCTTTGTCTGAAGTGCTTGGTGCTAAAAATGGTCTCATTTCTGACTTCTTCTGTTGCTGCTTTTTTGTATTGAGAAATGTATGTGTATATCTCCTGAGATATCTTAAGGAGGGGATTTATAAGAACCCCATACTCATGGCCTGAAGGTAACTCGCTGTTTTCAGATGCTTATATTTTTTTTATGCAACTTGTCAACTGAAGGTAGGTGTGGGACTCTCCTCCGTCTTACCCTGCCAGGACTCCAGGCCATCCAGATGGCCTAAGGGTCATTTGGAGCCCTGCCACCAACCCAGGAGCCCTGGCTTGGTGTCATGTGCTCTCTGCCATTGAGCAATGTGAGTCCTTTGTGTGGTAAGTGTCCTCCCTGGGTGAGAACTCTGGGAGCTACTGGCCTTGAGGGTCGTGAGGAACCCTCTGCACTCATGTTCTGGTCTCTGGGTTTTTTTTGTTGGTGGTCACAGATAGGACACCTATCTGTGACACAGGAGCAGCATAAGTGATCTGCCTTGGCTGGAGGGATTTCTGAACTGATATCCTTTCCCACCAGGTTCTAACTGGTGTGAAGGAAAGTCCCACACTTGGGAGGACACCTTAGAGACCCCCATGTGGCCTGGGGGGAATTGGAGAGCATGTCAGAGACCCCTGTGGGGCTCAAGGAACAGAAGAGAGTCTCAGAGGGATGAAAGGATGTTGGTCTATATTTTGGTCTGTTTTATTGGGTTCTTATATCTCTATCTCCCATCCAACCTTTATTCCAGCCTAATCCCTCCTACCTCCCACTGCTAAGTAGGAGAGAAAGAAGATTAGAGGGGGAAGGGGTTGGGCATAGTTCTCCTTAGACTACTTCCTGCTTACTAGGGCTGTTGGGTTCCTAGGTGGCAAGTCCAATCTTCGTAGTCAGGATATTTCCAACTTCTTTTTCTTATCTCTTTGCTCTTTTCTTACGACCGTTTGACAAACCGTAAGAACAGCAGCAGGAGCAGAAGGGGAGGAAGTAGCAGACACCTTCTTCTTTGGAGCACTCGCAGCCCCTCTTGGGGCTCTGGCATTTATCCCCCCTGAAAAGTTCCCAGAATTCCAAACATAAACTATCCTCAGCTGGCAAAATCATGCCCCTACTAGAGCACGAGACACATAGTTAGCTGCTGTGGACAATCTGAAGCAGCCTGAGATCCCACACATATTCTCATAAGTTTTTTTTTTTTTTTTTTTTTTTAAGAAACCCAAATTCTCACTACAGAAGGAATGTCTTAGGTACCCCAGCCTGGCCTCAGACAGACAAAAGGGAATCTCAGAGTCCTGCGTGGGGCTTGAGGGATGGGAGTGGACAGAAGGGAGTGTGTAAGCCCCCTGTGGGCTTTGAGAACGGGAGGCTTCGTGGTGACTGTCCTCTGTCCTTCTCTCAGGGAAGTGGACTGGTTCTCTCTGGCCAGCGTTATCTTCTTGCTGCTGTTCGCACCATTTATTGTGTACTACTTCATCATGGCATGTGACCAGTACAGCTGCTCGCTGATCGCTCCTGTGCTGGACATGGCTACAGGCCATATTAGTCTGGCAGACATCTGGGCCAAGACACCACCTGTGACAGCTAAAGCTGCCCTACTGTACACCTTGTGGGTCAGCTTCCAGGTCAGTCCTCTGCCTTGGGGCCGGGCGCGGTGGATGGGGAAGGGGTCCCGCTGCCAGGGTCTTGTCTGGGATGCAGGCGTCTGACTCAGAGTGACCTCACATTCTCGGGATGCAACAGTCTCAGGAAGCATCTCTGTGTCACATTGTATCCTTCTTGGTTTCCAGCACCTGGCTGTAGCACAGCAGCATGCCCTACTGGGTGATGATTGCATGGGAGAGCATACAGTATCTGAGGGAGTCCCTATACACAGTTAGAATCTCTTTCACAGTAACCCCTGGGAGGCGGTGTCTTAGACTCTATGGCTTCTGCAGGTTGCCAGATAGTCCTAATCAGGGGTGTCTTTGCCTGTGATACAACCTCTCAGCCTGAAAACTAGGACGTTACCAGGGAGAATCAACCTTCACGGGTTAGATATTGGACACGATGTAAGCCTATAGCCAGGACAGGTTAGGGAACCACCTGGGAATCAGGTCACCTTGTTTTTTCCCAGGCAGAATTTTGCATTGATGCTTGTCTCTCCCAGGTTCCAAAGTTTTGTCCTCCAGGGTCCACCTCCTTTTCATTACCCTGGTCCTCTGGCTGAGAAGGATAGCATGAGTCATGATAGCTAAGGCACGGGAACAGCCCAGCTGTGCAGTAGAGGACAGGATCAGCAGCACATGGTCTGTGCATAAATAGAATGCCCTTAGACTGTAGAAAGGATGAGCTGTGGGGCAGGTGGGCCAGTGTTGGAAATGGCTACCAAGCAGAAGATGCCAAGACCAACTGGAGCAATTCCATTTATGTGAAATTCACAGGCCAGGAAGATTGGTGGCTGCCAGGGACTGCAGGAGAAGGATGAGAAGTGGTTGACTATGGGAATAGGGCTTTCCCCTTTTTAAATTAAAAAAAAAAAAAAAAAAAAAAAAAAAGGGCAGTGGGGTGGTGGGAATACACTTCAAGACAGGATTTCTTTGTATAGCCTTGACTGTCTTAGAGCTCATTTTATAGACCAGGCTGGCCTCGAACTCACAGAGATCCACTGGCCTCTGTCTCCCCAATGCTGGGATTAAAGGTGTGTGCCACCACTGCCTGACTTAAAAAAAATATTTTTTGATGATTTATTTATTTTATGTGTGTGAGTGTTTTTTTCTGCACATATGTATATGCACTGTGAGCTTACAGTACCCAGTGGAGGCCAGAAGAGGGCTTAGGATCCCCTGGAACTGGAGTTACAGACAGTTGTGAGCACCATGTGGGTGCTGGTGCTGAGAACTGAACCCATGTCCTCTGGATGAGCAGCGGTTGCTCTTACCGCCAAGTGCTCTCTTTCCATCATAGGGTTCCCTTTGGTAGTGTTCTAGGATCAGACTGCGGTGACAGTTGCCTGCTCTTGTGAACCTGTTACACGACTGAACCGTGATGTTGGAAGGGTGGGCTTGATGGGATGTGGTCACATCTCAGTGCTTTTATTATTTTTTTAAAAGACAGGCTTTGAAATCATTATTTGTTTTTATTTTATGTACACTGATATTTTGCCTGCATGTATATCAGTATGAAAACGTCAGAACTCTGGAGTTACAGTTGTGAGCTGCTGCTCAATCTGTAGATCTTTCCGCCTAAAATTCTGTTTCAGGCGTTGCTTTACTCCTGGCTTCCTGACGTCTGCCACAGATTTCTGCCAGGCTACATTGGAGGCATCCAGGAAGGTGCCATAACTCCAGCAGGTAACGCCTGGCCCGGCCGCTCTGTGTTCTGGAGCTGCCCTCACACGCCGATTCAGGTTAGGTGATCCAACGAGCGTGCTCTGTTTGATTCTCCCTCTGCAGGGGTTGTCAACAAGTATGAGGTGAATGGGCTGCAAGCCTGGCTCATTACCCACCTCCTCTGGTTTGTGAACGCTTACCTCCTCTCCTGGTTCTCCCCTACCATCATCTTTGACAACTGGATCCCACTGCTATGGTGTGCCAACATTCTGGGCTATCTTGTGTCCACATTCGCAATGATCAAGGGCTACCTGTTCCCGACCAGTGCCAAAGACTGGTAAGTTCCTTAGGAGCTGGTTGAGCTTAGAGTGGATACTTCCACCCAGGGCCGTCTGCTCCCTGGCATAGAACATTGGGAAACCCTGAGATTTGGGATCAGCCTTTTGGATGCTTGGATTTTCTTGCTTTAGGAAGAACTGTCAGAGGTAGCCAAGGCTGCCATGGGAGCAGTTAAACCAGAAGGACAACTTCTGGCTGAGGAGGAGGTAGATACTACCTTTTTCTTTGGATTATTTCTTGTGAAACAGTCTTAGTAAAGAATCCTGCTATCTCATCAGCTTTACCATAGCTGCTTTTCCGGGAGAGCTGCTGTTTGCTCACAGCATTCTCATGGAATCTTGGGGTTGGAGGTCAGCTGTCCAGATCCATCCTATCTGCCTGCCCAGCCATTTACTTATCTACCCATCCACTCATCTGACAATCCATCCATCCATCCATCTATCCACCCACTTATCCATTTGTTTACTCATTCTTCTCCCCATCCACCTCTCTGTCCATCTACCTATTTGCCCACCCACATATCCATCATCTACTCATTCTTCTATCCACCCACCCATTTCCCTTAAATCTGTCTACTCATCCACCTACATAACCACTCACCATCCACTGATGTAATCATCCATTCACCTACCACATGCCCACCCATACACCTCTCTACACATTCATCAACCTATCCACCAACCCTTCCATCCATCCATCCATCTACCTGCCATACACCCATCCATCCACTTCTCCATCTACCTACCTGCCTATCTACCCATCTACCCATCCACCTATCCACCTATCCGTCTACCCACCCCCACCCATGCACTCATCTCTCTATTTACCCATCCATCTACCTACTGTATACCCATCCATCCACCTGCTCACCCATTAACAGATAATTGGCGAGCTCTTCTCAAGTTCTTAATTTTGACCTCGGATGCAGATGAAAATGGAACATTGGCTGCTGGTTTTAGCTTTGGGGAACCAGCCTCAGGTGAGGATGCTGTGTGGCTTGTGCTACCCTGTGCTGCAGATGACTTCCCTGCTGCCTTTTGAGGCTCCCAGAGCTGTTGCTGCTTTTGTAGATATAGTTATGTTTGGTTCTTTCTATTTAGCCTGACTGTCGGAACTAGGCGGGAGAACCTAGCTAGCAATAATCCCTCTGCATGCACAGAAGGCTATACCTAGGAAGGGTATCTCAGCTCATTCTCGACCCCAATGTGGGATGAATGTCTGCTGTGGGGTCAAGTGACCAAGACCATGAGTGGTCACTGAACCTGTGGAATAGGGAGAAACATGGGCCCTGGAGCTTAGGCTGTGAGCACAGGCCACGTGCTACTTAATCCACGTGTCCCTGTGTTTCGTGTCTCTGCTGAGCACAGTGCGCTCTGAGTGAGAAGGAACGCAGATATGGGTCTGAGGGCGGGGGCCGCTGTGCTTTCTCTTGCGTGGACACTTTATGGTCATGGCTGCAGCCAGGCTGCTTCCTTCCCTTGCCAGCACCTGAACACTGGTGTCCACAGAGCTAGATGAGCCGCATGTGGAAGATATGCTAGCTGATTTAATGTGCCTTGGGAGGGTGGGGGATATGGCTTATGGGTTAAGAGAACTGGCTGCTCTTGGAGAGGACCTGGGTTCAATTCCTAGCACTCACATAGCAGCTCACAAGTGTCTGTATCTGTAACTCCAGATCCAGGGGATCCAATTCCCTCCTCTGGCCTCTGACGGCATGCACACACATGGTGCACAGACGAGCATGTGGGTAAAATACCCATACGCATATCTGAAACAAGTTTTGTTTTGTTTTTTTAATTTTTTAATTTTTTATTTTTTTGAGACAGGGTTTCTCTGTAGCCTTTGTAGGCCAGGCTGGTCTCAAACTCACAGTAATCTGCCTGTCTCTGTCTCCCGAGGGCTGGTATCAAAGGCGTGCGCCACCACACTTGGCTGCTCTGAAACAAATTTTTAATGTGTCTTCTGTTGATGTTTTTAAGCAAATTCACAGGCAATTTCTTCTACAACTATATGATGGGCATTGAGTTCAACCCCCGTATCGGAGAGTGGTTTGATTTCAAGCTTTTCTTCAATGGACGCCCGGGGATTGTGGCCTGGACCCTTATCAACCTGTCTTTTGCTGCCAAGCAGCAGGAGCTTTATGGGCATGTGACCAACTCCATGATTTTGGTCAATGTCTTGCAGGTAACTTAGTGTGCTTGCAGCAAGGGAGGGTGGACCACCACACCTGCTGGGTGGTGTTCCCAGCATGCCATCTTATTCAGAGCTGGGCCTCCCAGGTCACAGCGAGCACATTGTGAAAATCTACGGTTCCATAGGTGTCACTGCGCCAGCCTCCGGAGGGACAAGGCAGACACCACGCAGTCTGGCTGGTCCAGGGAGCACGCCCTTAGGCACCGCCCTCAGATGGCATCTCAGAGTTTCATGGACCTCTGTAACCAGCTAGAGAAGAGAGGGAGTAGGCGAGCCACAGACACAAGGAGTGGCCTTTGTAGTCCGTACAGAGGGAGAAGTTGAGACACAGAGGAAGGTCCTCTGTCCTGAGCAGACAGAACTAGGAAGCTTGTGGCCAGGTGGGGCCAAGGTGGAAGCCCTTTGGGAGGTTTCCAACCTTCTGTTAAAAGCAGTTATCACTCAGGAGGCTGGAGCAGGGTTGTTGTGAGTTCAGGACTATCTGGGAGTTACATGCTGCCTTTGAGAGCAGCCTGCATTGTGGGGTGAGACTCTATGTGGAGAACAGCAATGAGACTCGGGAGGTGATGGTTCTGTGGTGAACGTGCTTGCCCTGAAAGCATGAAAGCCAAAGCTCGGATTCCCAGAACCCGTGTAAGTGGTGGGTGGGCCTGGTGCAATAGTAGCCTCAGAAGGCAGAGGCGGGTAGATGATCCTCAGAGCAGGATGACCATCGAGACTAGCCGTATCAGTGAGTTCTGCATTTGATTGAGAATCCTTGCCGTAGTGAAGAAGGCCGAAGACTTCAACCTGTGGCCTCTATATGTACTCGCACATGTAGACACGTGCACCCACGTTTATGTGCCCACACACATGTACCACACACACGTGCAAAAGAAAAGAAAAACCCGAGTGCTAACAACAACAAAGCAGTGAGAGCAAATGCCGGGTGATGCTGGGATGTGGCCTGTGTCTGGTGGGTCCAGCAGGACTGCAGGGTGCCAAGGGAGAGTGACTGCAGATGAGGAGGCCATGAGCACAGCTCAGGCTGGCTGAATGTGTGCAGGGGTGGGGCCAGACTGTGGGGACAGGACTGGATGGGTGAAGTCCCGGCCTCATACCAGCTCTGGTCATTCGGACCTGTGGACCTGAGGAGCCAGTGATATGCCAGGACCATGGCCTCTGGGAGGAGTCTTCTCTGTGATCCTCCAGAAGCTGCTTCTGTGCTAGGGCATACAGATGGATGGAGAAGAGACCTGCTTTTTCACAGAGCACTGGGGTCCAGGCTCTGCAGGCCGGCTTCCTGACACAGCCAAGGCTCAGTAAGCTGGGACTGTGTGTAGGTGTTATAGGCAAATCCCAGTGTGCCTGTGTGAGGTGCCACTCCCTTTTTATAAGGGACCGTCTCAGGCAGGGTGCTCAATCTTTGCCTTATGCAACTGTGGCTAACACCATGGTGATGAGTCAGAAGTCTCTGGAAGATTCTCTTGCTATATCCCAGCCTTAGTCACAGCTTATGGCCCCGTGTAGGTTTCCTTGAGGTGGGAAGCGACAAGCAGGGTCTTTGCTTTTGCCCATCTCTGTGAATGGACCTTAGTCTCCTTGGACACCTCGTGTGTGTCATGGTGCTGAGGGGTAGCTGATGGGCCAAAGCTGTGACATTTCCCCTGTGGATGTCTATGTTGGTGTCTGCCATGGTACTCAGGGCCAACTTTCCAGAGACGGTCCTTGAGCCCTTCCATCCTGAGTCATGTCTGCTCTGAGCTCCACAGCTCATGTCACCTGTGGGAGCTACAGCTGGGAGCCCTTCCTTCTGATGGACAATAGCCCCCCTCCCCAGCCCTCTAATGTTCCCAGCCCCCCAGCAACTTAAGTTACTTCGAGTTCCAACTGCCCGTTCCCCATCCCTCCTCTGCATGGGCCTGTGGTGCTGACAGTGTTGGCTCCGTCTTACAGGCCATCTATGTGGTAGACTTCTTCTGGAATGAAACCTGGTACCTGAAGACCATTGATATCTGCCACGACCACTTTGGGTGGTACCTGGGCTGGGGAGATTGTGTGTGGCTGCCCTATCTCTACACACTGCAGGTGAGGAGCAAGGGTAGTGGGACACAGTGACCAGCCTCATGGGCACTGGCTATGTGGTCTCCAGTTGCTCCTGGATGACCTTGAGCAGACACACATGCTGGGCTTCCAAGGTGTTAGTCCTTGGCGATCACTGGACCAGTGTCTTCACCCAAGAGGGGAAAGCTTGTATCACAGATATCTTGTATCACAGATATCCTTGACCCATCATGGGATTTGGTTCCCGCTCCATCCATCCTACACTGAAAGTACCAAAAGGAGAAAGTGCATTTAACACACCGGGCATAGCCCAGCCTTGCCCTCCTTAACATATACATGGCCACGGCTCAGCAAAGTCATTCCACATACGGCTTGGAGGGCTGGCTGGCATTCACCTCCAGCAAGGCTGGCCTTCAGCTTGTGACCCTCCTGCCTCAGCCTGGATGCTGGAATTATAGACAGCCATCACACCTGTCTATACGCCTGTCTCACATGGAGGGCATCCTGAAACCTGGCCTTTGTGTCCCGAGGCACAGCTGTGTGGCTATGCAATGTATGTATACAGACATACTCTTCACTCTGTATTTGTATTTGGGGTCTCTCAAGCAGAATCAGCAGGAGGGGGATGGTAGTGGAGCTTGGTAGGTCTCAAGCTTTCAGTGGGGGCCTGAGAGCCCAGACAGGAGTGCTGTTGCAGTTCCGGTAGAAGACTGCCTCCTGGCGACACTCCCTTTTCCCAAGGGAGGTTGTTCTTAATGTAAGAGAACAGGCTCGCCCACACTGGGAATTAGCTGCTTTACTCAGTGCTTATCTAAATGTTAATCTCAGCTGAGAGATAACCTCAGGGGTTTTAAGAGTGTGTGCTTCGGAGCTGCGGTGGCGCACACCTTTAGCTCCAGTTCTTGTCGGGGCAAAGAGAAGCAGATGGATCTCTCTCTGAGTTCAAGGACAGCCTGGTCTACAGAGTGATGGCTTCACAGACCTTGTCTTAAAAAAAACAGAAACCAAAAGAGTATGTGCTATACCAAGAGGAGGGCCGAGTTCAGATCCCAACACCCAGAGAACAAACTGGGAAGCCCCATGCATGCCTGTAACCCTAACACAGACAGCCTTCTTAGCTTCTAACCTACCCAAGAAAACTTGAGCGCCAGGTTCAGGACAAGACCCAGCCCCAAAGGAGTAGGTGAAGAGTGACAAAGGCAGACAGCCAACACTTTTTTTTCCTCTGGTTGCTTCAAGAGTGCTCAGGTGCACATGCATGCACACACAAATAGGTGCACACAGGCTGGGCGCAGTGGTACATGCCTATAATCCCAGCACTCTTTGAGGAGGCAGAGGCAGGCAGCTCTCTGTGAGTTCGAGGTCAGCCTGGTCTACAATGTGAGTCCAGGACAGCCAAGGCTACACAGAGAAACCCTGTCTTGAAAAAATAACAAAACAAAAAACCAACCAACCGAACAAACAAATGTTAGTCTCATCCACACATTTGCGGTTGGCCAGATATGCGTACTGTGGTCTACCCAAGTTGATAAATAAAATCAGCTGTCATCACTGTATATTCAGATTATCTTTTCATGTGCTACGTGGTTTACTTTTGCATAACAGTATATGATTTACCAGCTCCAACCGCTGGTGATCCAGCATCAGTTTTTAGATCTTAGGATGATGCACACATGGCTATCTTCATGGCACACAGAAGAGGAAGCAGCTGCAGAGCGTAGTCAGTCAAGTGGCTCACAAAGCGGTCCAGCCTGTATCAGGGAGAGTGTTCAGGGGCCTGAGTGTATTCAGCCTGTTTTCCTCCTGCTTGCCTCTCCCCTCCTTATCTCTTCCTCTATCACTGAGCCACCTCTTCCTCCCTCTCTTCTTATCTTTTGAAACGAGGTCAGATGAGTTTCAGTTAATCATCCAAGCATGTCCTGAACTTGTAGCGAGTGCTGGGGTTACAGATGTGTGCCTCCATGTCTGGCCTCATGGATCTTACTCCACAGAAAAGGAAACCAATGTGACCTGTGTCTGGGGCTGGGCCAGGGTTTTCTTAGCCGTCACTGATGCTCCCTCTGCTCTGCGAGGGGGCCACCCCTTCACCTTTCTCCCCTACCTCCTCTTCCCACAGGGCCTGTACTTGGTGTACCACCCTGTGCAGCTTTCCACCCCCCACGCCCTGGGCACCCTGCTGCTCGGCCTGGTTGGTTACTACATCTTCCGGATGACCAACCATCAGAAGGACCTGTTCCGCAGGACAGATGGGCGTTGCCTCATTTGGGGCAAGAAGCCCAAGGCCATCGAGTGCTCTTACACATCAGCCGATGGGCAGAAGCACCACAGCAAGCTGTTGGTTTCAGGCTTCTGGGGTGTGGCTCGCCACTTCAACTATACCGGTGACCTGATGGGCAGCCTCGCCTACTGCCTGGCTTGTGGTGGCGGCCACCTCCTTCCCTACTTCTACATCATCTACATGACTATCCTGCTCATCCACCGCTGCCTCCGTGATGAACACCGATGTGCCAACAAGTATGGCCATGACTGGGAGCGCTACACAGCCGCCGTGCCCTACCGCCTGGTGCCGGGAATCTTCTGAGGGCCATCCTGGGAAGCACAGGGAGGCTCTGTTGATTGCGTGGAGTTGCACACATGGCATCCCACCTTTCCCATGCTTGGGCCTCAGTTTGCTCATCTGTTGAATGGAGAGCCTGGTGCCCCACAGTGTCCCCCTGGCAGCAGCTAGAGAGTAGAGTTCACATTGAGCCCCCAGCAGAATGACTTGTTTTCTCTGTTTAGCATCCTGAGGGCAGAGGACTTTCAAGTCTGTCTCTGTTGGGAGCCCACCATCTGTTCTGTGCAGATGGCTTAGGCTTACCAGATGTCTCCCAGGATTGGGCCCTCCTGGTAAAGGGGAGATAATGTTCTGCCATGTTCTTCCCTTCCTGTTCTGCCATGGTGGGCTGGGCCCCATTTTTGTCTGTGGCATGTGCAGTGTTGCTTGGCCAGCAGAGGGCCATTCAGAACAAAGGCTTTTGTTTAGGTTCTTGTTTTCACCCTAGGAATGCCAGGCAGGGATCTGGGATATCCAGAGCCGTTGCCCACTACACAGCCCCTGGCTAACCTGGTGCTTCTTGTTTACCCCTGACACTTGGTTCTGAGGTAAACAGACTCACTCAGACAACTGAGAAATGTATCACCAGCCAGTGGCCTCAGCCACACCTTCCTAACCGGGGTTCCGGTGGTGGGGAGGGAGCCATTCTCATTAGGGACACTGCCCCCCCCCCCCAAAAAAAAAAAACTCAGGGTATTCTGTAAAACTAGATAGGAACCTCTTAGCCTTGGAGATGATTGTTTATATTAAATCTGTCTTGTTGAATGAGTCACACTGTGCTGTCTCCTGAATGGGCCTCACCAGTGCCAGGGCTTGGGGTGGGGGTGGGAGTGAGGGGTGTTGCATGGTATAGACGAACCCCAGGGAGTGATAGAACCAGTGCATGGCTGCTGTCAAAGCTTCATATCCTACTTGGCATTGGGGTGAACTGTGCCCAACCCTCCATAATTCCTCCATTAGTCTAGAGCTTGGCTGGATCATTTGCTTGTTGGAAGTGAGCCCATTCCATCTGCCAGTGACAGGAAGCCAGTGTCCCCAAACAAACGGAGAAGCTATGTGTCTGGGCCTGTACTCCTAGTTTCTGGAGAACTGAAGATGAACGAGAGGTGAGTGGTGCCCGCAGCCCGGGCACAACTGGTCTGCTTCTGGTTAGAGCTGGTTGAACATTGACAGCTGCTCCTGGAGAGAGCCATGAATCCTGCTAGCCCGAGTTGGTGTTCTGTCCGGCATGTCTGAGAATGTGGACACAAGGGGTTTTAGGCACCTTCACCTCTCCCTTGAAAAAAGTCCTTTTGGGGGGACTGGGCTGTGGTGGCTGTAAACTCATACCAGGTCCCACTGTTCACATGCGAACTCTAGCTCTGCCTTCTGAAGGCTATACAGTTTACATAGGTGACCCTCTGTTGGCCTCACATCCTCATTTGTGCACTGGCTGAAGTTCAGTGTTCCAGTCTTCCTGCATTGCTGGAGGCAGACTTTCAAGCTCATTTGCTAAGAGGCCTGGGTTCCCGTGTTGGTAGAGCTTGTCAGTTGGCTCTGGTTCTAGTTTGTGTTAGCCTGGGAGCCCAGTAGTTTGGGCTTTGGAGCATAGTGCACTCAGACATGGCATTCGGTGACTGTGGGCCCGTGGGCCTGTCTGTCCCATCCTGCCACCAGCAGATGAATCCACTCTTTCCTCTCTGGAGTCAAGACAAGAGTGTGCAAGAGAGCCCAGGACTGTAGACTGGGTCAGCCTCTGCCACTCGCCAGCCACGGTTCTCAATGCAGCCTCAACCCAGGCTTTTCATGGATCTTCCAAGGTGGGGCCAGCTGAACTGTGCTCTGGGTGGAGCTGCCCCGACAGCCTGCTCAGCTCATCAGGCATCAGACAGACTAGACAGATTGAGTGTTGGAAGCCATGGGCACCTTCAGAGTGGCTGGAAGGGTCACTTGTCCTGGGTCTTTGGAGATAGAAACAAGCTCTACCCTGGTGTCTCCAAGACACCCCAAACCTGTTTTCTGACCGACCCTCAGAACCTAACTTCACAGTCAGTGCAACACACCTGTGTCCCTGAGAGAGCCCTTGGTTACAGGTACCTTATGTGACAACATTGGGGGATTCAGCCAAATGAGTCTAGGGGATGAGGGACTTGAAGTAACTTGCCCTGAACAATGTGCCTGGCGAGGAGCCGAGACTGGGTTTGAAAGTGGGTGTCTGCATTCCAGCCACACTGCAAGAGATGGACCAGGAGACTTGGGCCAGGGTGTAGGCAATCCTCCCACAGAGAGCCATTTGTTTCGAGCTCTGTCCCACAGAACAGGAGCCATCATTGTTAATAATACGTTGTTTTCAATTTTAGGTTTTATGTTTTTATTTTTTAAGGTAAAGTTTCCCATGTATTCAGGGTTGGCCTAGAACCTGTGGCAATCCTCTCACCTCAGCCCCTAAGTCTTGGGGTTACAGATTTGTACCTCCATGCTTGCCCGGCTTCTGGGTTAAAAATGGTTTTAAAAGTTGTTTTAAATTTACTTATTTTTTTAATTTTATGTTTGAGTGTTTTGCCAATATGTAAGTGCACTGAGCAACTGTCTGGTGCCTAGAAGCCAGAAGACGGAAATGGATCCCCTGAAACTGGAGGTATTAGATGGTTGTGAGCTGCTAGATGGGCACTGGGAATTGAACCCTAGCCCTCTGGAAGAGCGGCCACTCCTCTTAACTGCTGAGCTGTTTCTTCCACCCCTGGTTGTGTGTGTCTTAACTGCTGAGCTATTTCTTCAGCCCTGGTTGTGTGTGTGTGTTTTCTGAGACAGGGTTTCTCTGTGTAGCTTGGCTGTCCTGGATTCATTTTGTAGACTGGGCTAGCCTCGAACTCACAGGGATCTGCGTGCCTCTGCCTCTGCTTCCCTGAGTGCTGGGATTACAGGCCTGTGCAACCATGCCTGGACCATTTGAAATAGTTTAAAAAGAATTGCTTTTGAGGGCTGGGGAGATGGCTCAGTTGGTAAAGGGCTTGCTATGCAGCCGTTAGTACTGATTTTCAGAATCCACATAGAAAAGCTGGGTGTGGTGGTATGAGCTGGGGAGACAATATATAAGCGGGTTGCTGGGGCTCCTCAGCTGGCCAGCCTAGTTGAATTGGTGACCTTAAGGTTAAGCAGCTGACATACTTTCTAGGCAAGCTTGAGGACCTGAGTCCTGATGCCCAAAAGCAGTATCAGAGCATCTGTAATCCCAGGGTCTATCAAAACGGGAGCCAAAAGCTTGTGAACCAGACAGCAAGGAAACCCTGTCCCAAACAAGGTGAAAGATGAGGACCAGTACCTGGGATTGTCTGTCCATCTATGTCTCCCCATACACACATGAAGAAAAAAGATGATTTGATTCAAGCCTGCCAGCCTCCTCCACAAACCACAGTTGGTTAGCAGAAAGCTGTCTTGCTTCTGGCATTGGTGTGGGTAATTTTATTTTGCTTTGTTTTGTGACACCCAGGCCTCTGCCTTCCCAGGCAGACTGTCAGGCAGCCAGGTGTGAGCCACAGGTCCCAGGCACCACCTCTAGGGCATCGAGATCCTCTCTTTCCCTTTGCCTTTCAACTCCCACGTTCTCGGCTGTTCTTGCCACAGTTCTGTTTTGCAAGCATGCTACAGCACTGCCGGCTGAGAACTCTCCCAAAGCTGAGCTAGGACAGGAGCTAGGAACCAGGAAAGAACTTTGAGAAACTGAGAGGTCCTGATCTAATCCTACTCCCTTGTCAGTGCAGGGTAACCAGGCTGCAGTTCCTGGAAGGAATGCTGGCCCTAGTGGCAAGTCTGTCCACAGTGGGCCTTCCTGTGTCTCCTTGCTGTGGACTCTGCAGCAGCAGCAGCCTTCAAGATGGCACCCTGAGACCTGCCCTGCAGGCAATCATGTAATCTGAATGGCTCTCCACCCGGGAGAGCACTGATGTGTGGAACCAGTAGACTAGAAATACGAGATGGAGCCTGGAGCCTCCATCTGAATCTGCTTGGAGGTCACGGTACTTCAGCCTGTGGTCTCTGGGCCCATGAGGTTTGAGGGGAGCCACCACTATGTCCCGAGGGCACTCAACAGGCAGGGCAGAGGCATCCCACCCACATGAGCTGCCCTGGAAGCAGGGTCCCTGTCCCTGTTGCGTTTTCAGGTGAGATGGCAACCACAAAGGGTCATCTTCCATAGTCTTACAAGGTAGCTCAGGCTGGGATCATCCAGCTCAGTGTGGGACTTACTGCGACTCCCACACCTCAGAGACAGTGTGATATATGACAAGGTGGCTTTGGACTGTTACCTTGGACGGTGATTCAAAGGCAGAGGGGGGTGAGAGACAACCCATCCTTCTAGCGATGGCTTTATGAATTGTGAACCACAGTCTAGAAAGTTCTTTTGAAAATCCTTCCATCTGGTCCCCATCTGGTTTCTTGCCTTGGTGTCTCAGGGTTCTATTGCTATGAAGAGACACTGAGACCACAGCAACTCTTATGAAGGAAAACATTTAATTGGGGCATGGCTTCCAGTTCAGAGGTTTAGTTCATTGTTGTCATGGAGGGAAGCACGGTGTCACGCAGGCAGACATGGTGCTGGAGAAGGAGTGGAGAGTTTTACATCTGGATCCAAAGGCAACATGGAGAGAGAGTGACACTGGGCCTGGCTTGCGCACTTGAAACCTCAAAGCCCACCCCATAGTGACGCATTTCCTCCAACAAGGCCATACCAACTTCTAACAAGGCCACACCTGCTAATGGTGCCACTCCCTACAGGCCTGTGGGGTCCCTTTCATTCAAACCACCACACTTGGCTTCAAGTTATCTAACAACTGTGTCCACTCAGCCATGAGGTCCTGGCTCTCTGTCTATGGCCTCTTTCAACCATAGCCTTGGACAGGATCCACTGCAGATATTGTCACTTGGGACTGCAGAAATAATGGCATTTTCCAAAGTGCCTTGAGCTACCTTAGGGCAGTTAAACATAAATAAAATCTCTGGACCCCAGCTAGTCCATTGTGGCTCCTCGTGTCCATGTCCTGGCTCACCAAGGCAATACTGAAGGGCCTCCGAGGAAGCCCAGTTAGTTTCAAGTCCCAATTCTCTCTCTCTCTCTCTCTCTCTCTCTGCCCCCTCTCTCTTTTGTGAGATATAATAGCTTAGCCTGGCCTCCAATTTGCTATGTAGCTCCTGCCTCTACTTTCCAACCTTCCAAGTGCTGGAATGAGGGTACATGTGTGGAATGAACCCAGGGCCTCAGCGTGCTAGGCAAGCACTCTACGAGCTACTCGTTCATTCCTATATGTAGCACATCCCTTGAGATTTCCCATCATGCCCTGGATCACCAACCCAGGGTTCAGGGCTGAGAGCACACTTCTTCAGGAGTTTAGGTCTCTTTGACTTTTGGGTCCCTTGTCATTCCAGATGGAGGCCTTAGTTCCCTCTGAGGTCCTATAGCAGGACAGACATCTAGAGGGCCACACAACCTCATACAATAAGAGTGAATCCAGAAGCTTCTTCCACAAGGTCATTTTAAGTAGGAGCTGATGGCCCTGCCTGGGTGAGGCCCTGAGGTCACAACTGTGTCACAATGTCCAAATGTCCTAGCATCAGGGGAAGGCCCACAACACCAGAGACTCTGTCCTTGCAGCGACACCAGTGAGTTCTACTTTCTACTGACTTCATGATTTGGTTCAAGGGATGGGGCCATCTTTCTGATGGGGTTGTGCTTCATAGCAGCCTTCACTGCTTCAGGCTCTCAGGTTTGGGCCTGGATGTCCCTGTTGCTTCACTTAAATCTCTTAGAATCTCTTTCTCCCTCCCTCTGTCCTTCTCTCCCTCCCCTTGCCCCCTCTTTATGAAGGAAGGAACATGTTTCCAAGCAAGGCCAGCTGATCCTGAATAAACCTACTTTGGGTAGGCCACAGACGCCCAGACTGTCACCAGGGTGCAGCAGCTTTTGAGCAGGGACCAGAGCCACCTGAGCCAGGTGAGATTGGTGAATTTCTGATTTCTTGTGAGCAAAAGTCAATGGTTTTGTGCCGTCTGCTTGCCTCACCCTGCTGTGGGGAAAGACTTCCTTGTAGGTGGAAAAGGAGCCACACCTTGTTTAGTCTCTGAAAACAGGAAACCCTGTGACTCATGTGAGCAGACTGTCACATATACAAAAATCTTCCTAGCCAGAAACAGGAGTTGCATAATTGTGGGTGAAGTCCTTGCTCACCTGGAACTTGCATGTAGCCCACGCTGGGCTTGAACTCAGAGAGTTGCCCCTGCCTCTGCCTCCTCAGTGTTGGTATTAAGGGTGTGAGTCACTGTGCCTAGCCATGGGCATTTGTTTTTAGTGACTGAATGACTAGAAGCCAAGCTTCCTCCCAGGCAGATGGTAACTCCTGACTCCTGTCATGGCGGGGAGGCGGGTGGTCTCACTGGCTCATTCTGCCAGAAGGGACAACTTCTGGAAGGGTCAGATTGTTCAACCTACCAGCTCTGCCAGTAGAGCATGAGGAAATCTCCGCTCTAAGCCTTCGGTGTTGTCTGACAGCGTTCTTTTTTCAAAAGGTTTCTTTCATCACAGAGTCACAAGGTTTAATCCCAGCGTTAATGGCTATTGTGGGACTCAAAATAGCCCAAGATAACTTGCGTATCAGATATCTACATTACAATCCAGAACAGTGGCAAGTTGACAGTTCTGAGGTAGCAACAAAATAACGTTATGGTTGGGGGTCAGCACATCATGAGGGACTGTATCAATGGGTCACAACATCAGGAAGGTTGAGAGCTACAGTGTGTCAGCCTTGTGTAGCTCTGAACACAGGTGCAGCTTTTTTTCCTGAGAACTTTGGTTCAGCCGTGGAGAGGAGAGACCATGCCTGGCTTTGAAATCCAGGCTGCCTCTCCAGTTGGGGCAAATGGAGCTGGTGAGGTTTCATGGGAGCAGATGCTATTGTCTTTCTTTCAGAGAACCCCCAATGCCTGGAAGATGCTGCTATCTCTCTCTGTCTGGGCTCTGGAAGGGGAGGGGAGGCCCTGAGGCCGTTTCATCTGACGAATTTCCAGCATACTTTTGAGACCAGTGTCTTCACAGTGAATTTTGAAAGAAATTCTAGCCAGGTAGAGTGGCTCCCACCTGTAATCCCAGCACCAGAGAGGAGGCTGAGCCAGGATTGCTATTAATTTGAGTCTAGCCTGAGCTACAGAGTGACACCCACATCTGCTGCTGATAACATTCAACCACAAGGCACCCCATGCTAGGAAGAGATTGCTCGTGGAAGGAAGATCTGGGTAAAAGGCCTCTGTTCCTATTTTTAAGAAATTGCTGCAGTCACTCCAGCCTCTGGTAGCTGCTGCCTGCTCAGTTATCACTGTCATCCCAGAGGCAGGATCCCCACTAGGAAAAAGATGTTTCACCAAAGCCTTGGCAAACCCCAAAAGTGCCAGTTATTGTCTTTAGTCTGATTTACTACCGTGTCTTTGACAGAAGCCCAGTGTCTTTGTCTTTGAGGCGTTCTGTGTCTACACAGTGGAGCGCAAATACACTACAAGGGTGAAAAATGAACCACAACTACCCTTGACAGCATAGCAGGGCCTCCAGAAAAGGACTGAAATAAGCAAATGACTGACAGTTCTCAGGTGTGGGCTCAAAGGGTACACTGGGGTGGATCGATGGGGGTAAGGAGGTTACTAAGAGGGATGTTAAGCATAGTAAGGGCTCTAAAGAGAAAAATCAGGGCCCACGGATAGGCCTCTAGTTACAGCTCTCTGAGGAAGAGAAAGTATTCACAGCTGGAGCCTGCAGGTTTTCCAGTTACCAAAGAGAAGGCAGGAGAGGGGTGGCTACAATACCCTCCATAGTCCTGTTGGTGTAACCTACTCCCTAGGTGAGAACCTGTGCTAGAGATCCACTGATTGTCTCAGTAGATGGGCTAGCGTCTGAGAGAAGAAGGGCTGTGCAGGTCTTGTGGGGACAGAGATGCTGGTCCAGTGTACAAGGGTAGGCCTGATTCTATGGGAGGCCCAGCAGTGTTGACCAAGATGCCCCTGTGGGCCCTTCAGTCCTGGGGTTTTGGGTGAGATGGGAATACACACATGGGACCACACCCTCATTTCTTGCTCACTGTAATCCTTATGATAGGAGAGGATTTATTTTAAAGATTATTTCTTATTTATCTGTATGTGCATCTGCGTGAATTTATGTATACCACATACATGTAGGTACCTGTGGAGGCCAGCAGAGGGCGCTGGAGACTCCCTGGAGTTACAGGTGGCTGTAAGCTGTCAGTGTGGGCGCTTGGAGCCTCTTAAGTGCTGAGACATCTCTCTCAGCCCCAGGAAGAGCTATTTTAGGACTAGTTGTGCTACCAGACTACTGAAACAATGGACCCCAAGGCATTGGAGTTGCCCCAGGAGTCCCATGCTGGGGAAAAGAAAGGCTGAAGCCTGGTGCCAGCCATAGGGAGCTTGTCTCCCAGAGACCTTCCAGAGCTCTGAGAACTTGTCAGACCACCATGCAGGAGAGACTGGAGCTGAGACAGTGATGGGTGAGTGATGGGCAGGACCACACCTTGACCAGAACCGCTTAGCTCTGCAGTCTGTTTAAAGGTGAGCCTCATGTCTGGAGCCTGAAGAGGGACTTGGGGGTAACCAGACCACTTTGCTTCTCTTCCGGACATGATCATATTGAATAAATCTTTCTCTTCTTTTCATAATTGCTTTTTAAGATTATGTGCTGTAGACAAGAGGCTGAGTCTGGCTTACTGGGGCTGCCAGGGCCCAAGCTTTTGCTATAAAATCTCTGTCAATATATCCACTCTTCCAAGCTTCCTGAGCCTCGAGCCTGCCTAGCTCTGCAGCCACAGGCAACTTCTGTGTTCTTACACTTCGGATGGCACGTTGCCCCATCCCAACCTACATGCATAGTGTTCTCCTCAGGAAGGCCTGTGGTCTGTCCCAGTTTGTCCCACACCAGAGGTTTCAGGGACACTGTTTCTTCAGTGTCGAAACTAGGGCAAACCAGGCAGACCCACCCAGAGGTTCGCCCCCAGACAGACCTGTTTTCCTTGTGATTGACTTATGTCCTAGGCACTCCAAACAGCTTTCTGTAAATGCTTCATTTGTTTTGGAGGGAGCATGGGGAGCAGGCAGGGTCACAAAAAGCTCCTCCCAGGACAGCCTAGGGATGTTGGTGTGTAGGATAACTGTGTGCACAGGGCTGTTTAAAGATGTCCATTCCTAAACTGTCACAGCACCCGCCAAGTGGCTTTTGTTCAGGCTGACCTTGCTCCTAGTTACAAGGAGCCTCTGTCCTGCTGCTGGCACAGATCCTGCTGGGACAAGAAATGACAGTGATCTCTCCCTGCAGGCGTGTCCAGGCCACAGCATAATGGACCGCACACCCGTCATCTGTGACTATGGTTCTGGCTCCAGCAAGGTTGGCTTTGCAGGAACTGAGGCCCCCCTGGCTGTCTTCCCTACCATCCTCGGGAAACTGAAATATGATGTGAGTGGCCTCCTGCTTCATCTTCTAGCCTCCTGTGCTGTTCCGGTTGCTGTGACTATCATGGCTCCCAAGTCTCCGACTTCCATCCAGACTGCTTCCTGTCAGATGGCTCAAGAAGGTGGCCTTAGGGACAGAGTAGAGGGCATGAAGCAAACAGCTCCCATCTCGGCTGCAGGCTCTTCCACACCCTCCAGCACGGGCACCTTCCAGCATGGGCACCTTCCTCTGGGTGCAGCTTCCCTTTGTCTCCAGTACCACCCCCTCTAGCAATAGCCTTTGGGTCCCAATGGAACTGCTGGCAACCTTCTCCTCCCACGCCAGGGACCCCGCCTCTGAGCTTGACTGGCAGCACCCTTCCCCACAGGCATTGCTCCCTCCTCCTCCGTCATTCTGATAGCCTCCAGCTCCCCCTGATGTGCAGCATCTCTCTCTCTCTGTAGTGTAAAGCCTTAATGTGGGAAGTCATCCCATAGCCCCAGTGGGAAGAGAAGCACACAGTAACAGTACAGTTGGGCCTCTCATTTCTGGGTGTGTCCCAGTGGGTGCCTGGGACATTGGAATGTCTTCTTACCCAGACCTGTGTAGCATGAGTTATAAACAATGTACCCATCTGTAGCGAGAGAGGGAGAGAGAGGGAGAGAGAGGGAGAGAGAGAGAGAGAGAGAGAGAGAGAGTCGCTGCAGTGTTAGGTGTATGAGTGTGGCAGAGGCAGTCAGGGCAGATGATGTTTGCAGAATGTGGATTCACAGAACCCCTGAAGGCAGAGCTATGGCCAAGGGGACATTGTGCCCAGAGCAGTGTGGGCACCAGCAGTGCTCATGTATCTGTTATGTAGGACAAAAAGAGGGTCACAGCATGGGAAAAGTCCACCTCACGTCCACGTCACCATGAGGACCATAAGCAGATCTCCTACCCAGCCTTTCTCCTCCTCCTCCTTCAGGCTTGCCTTTCATCAGCCATGTTCCCTGTGAGCCTTGCCCCAGTCCTGGGCAGCAGGAGTGGCTTCCACGTTCAGAAGAGTCCATTTCCTTCACTTCCTTCTTCAGGCATGAGACTCATTTGTAGTCTTCCCCACGACCCAGATCTCTACCCAGGGCCGGTAGAGGCAGTAGGAAGGCAGCAGGGTCTTTGATGGGAAGACTGGAGGTGACAAAGAGGCTGAACAAGGGCAAAGTCATTCTTTCCATTTCAGTCCTGGCCCACATGCCACTCAGGGTCAGGACACTGGGCCCCATCCCTGTCTACCTTGTTGCAGTAAATGGTAGCTTCAAACCTGGGTAACTGTACCTGATTCCCACACTCACACAACCACAATCTGAAAGCATCAGAGGAGGCACAACTTTGACAATGCCATGTCCCCCTGATCTTTCAGCAGTGCACGGGCACAGAATTGCTCCCAGTTGGCAGAGAAGGATAGGGGGAGCTTGTGAAGGTGAGAAGCTCACCCGAGGTCTTGGCTGATGCTTTTCAAACCAAGGCCAAGGCTGAAGACAGGCCTAGATGGCTCATGACACCAAACTCTGTTCAGCTGGGTTGTGGCTGCCTCAGGCACAGGCCTAGCTTGAAAACCTACTGTCCTATTGCAGCATGCCTACAGCATGGTATTAAGGTAACCCTGCAGCATCACTGGGATGCTCCACTGCTGCAAGGTAACGTTGCAGCATGCTCCACGTGTCATGCGCCACCATAGCACAGCAATACTGCAGCATGGTACTGCCACACAGCTGCATGGCTGCGCTGTGGTACCCTGCACATATTCAGCCTTCCAGCATCATTGTGCTGCTCCACTGTAGCAAGGTACCATTGCGCCATGCACCATGCACCCCTGTACTACACAGCTGCATGATAACATGGTGGTACGCACTCATGCAGCATGCAGCCTCCCAGCATTGCAACACTGTCCAGCCCTCTGACTGTCTTGCCACAATAGCGCCCCGTCCCCCTGCCCCTCCTTCCTGTTGTACTACTGCCCCATGCAGGTTGCTCTCCTCTAGTGTAAGCATGCGATTATCCTGGAGACCCTAAACTCCTCTGATGAGTGTGTGTGACGGAGGGGTTCCTCTACAGCCTCCCTGAGCCAGCCTTCTATATACACTGGAATGGCCACCTTCCCTGCTTCCTTCTTTCCTGGGCTCCGGCTCAAATGTGGGCATAGCTCTTCAGTCTTTCTCCTAGCTGGGTTCCCTTCCCCCTTCCATTCATCCAGACAAGTTTCTTGCGAAGTCTTCACAGCTCTGATCCTAATGTCTGGCTTTTGTGGACTGAAATAGATGCCCAGGCCCTCTGACAGCATGGAAAGTTCAGTCCACCTTGAAGGTAGCTAAGTCCATCTTCCCGAAACCCAGGAGCCAGCTCATGCTGCATTCCCTTTTCCAGCAAAGTCTTCCAGAACACGTGTGCAGGATGTGCCTCCAAGCTTTCCATCCCATAGTATTCCTCTGCTGGTCTCAGGTCCCACACCTGCAGTGAGAGTCCTCACAGTTACCCTCAGCAGCTCAAGGCAATGTTCCCTTTTGTTAGTAACCACTGCTGAAAGTCTTCATGGTTGGAGAGCCTCTGCCCTTGTCTAGGCTGGTGACTGACACCAGCTCCCGGCAGCCTCATGGCACTGGCTCATGTCCACGGGTGAGAGCCAGCTACGGTAGGCCCAGCCCTAGCCTGCCACTCTCAGGGGCTGTCCTGTCCTGTCCTGCCTGTGTTTTTCAGAACCTGCTAGTGGGGTTGGAAAAAGAAGACTGGTTCATTGGAGGTGAGGCCCAGAATAATCTACTTCATCTGAACTTGTACTACCCCATCACCCGGGGAACCATCACCAACTGGGACAATATGGAGAAGGTGAGCTACAGCCTCTTGGGGAGGGCCAGTCACACCCCAGCCACTACCTTTGGCACTGAGGGGGGACCTGCCGTCGGGACCTAGCTCTGTTGTGGCTCTAAGTCCTTCCATAGTCACAGCCTCAGAGATCCAAGTCAGGAGACCTCAGTTCCAGTCCTGCCTCCTTTGCTTACTGTCTACACCACCAGGACATGGGGCCCGGCCTCCGACACCCTCAGATTCCTTGTCTATAAGATGATGTGATCATTCCTATGCTGTCATGGCTGGGACAGAGTGATGGATAAGAAGTCCTTAGCCTCAGAGAAAAGCAACGTATGGTCTAAGCAGCTGTCCATGACACCTGCACTCAAGGGCGTGTTGCTTACATTCTAACACTGAAGGCAGCTGTAATGAAGCCCCACAACACAGCAGGCATAAGCCTCAGAAATCTGATGCTTCATAGCCCTCAAGGTCAAGGTGTTGGCACAGTACTGCTGCTGAGGGCTGTGAGGGAGAGCCTGCCTCAGGCTGCTTCCTGGTTTCTGGAAGGCTTGCTGACAAATTTGGCAAATTTGAGGATGCTCATCCATTTGTAGAGCATGGCTTCAGTCCCTGCTCTCATCTCCACAGAGCATTCTCCGTGTGTGTGTGTGTGTGTGTGTGTGTGTGTGTGTGTGTGTGTTTGCCTCAGAATTCCCATTTTTTACCAATGTAGTACCTGAGTTGGATTAGGGACACACCATTCCAGTATATGACACCTGCTGCCACTATTTCAGAGATGGTGACACTCTGAGGTCTTAGGGCATCCACATAGGGATTTTGGGATCATAACTCAGATACAGCAATGCACTAACACAGCTTAAGCAATCGGTTTAAAGGCCAGAGGCTTTAGACAGTGACTCCTGGTTCTACCCTTGCAGTTTCTCTGGATCAGGGATCTGGGCACAGCCTGGGTCCTGAAGGAGCAGGTAGCACTGAATGTGAGCCACCATGTGGCTACTGGGAATTGAATGCTGGTACTTTGCAAGAGCAGACAGTGCTGTTAACTGATGAGTCATCCATCCCAAGACACGGCATTTCAAGTTGAGCTGTGTGGAGGTACTCACTTGCCATCCCAGCCCTGGGGTGGCAGAAGCGGGAGAGTCAGGAGTTCAAGACTATTAGGCCTTGTCTAGACTACTAGGCCTTGTCTCAAAACCAAAACAAAATGGTAATCAAATCAAAATGAAGCCGCTACTGTGGATTATAATTCATGTGGCTGTGGTCTAAGGAGAGGAGATCAGGACACAGCTACACTACAGAGCATGACCATGTGAGAAGATGGAGAAGAATGGTCTAACTTGCACAACATAGGGTAGAGGTCACTGAAAGGTGCATAGGAAACCCCAAAACAGACACACTGGAAGGTCCTCAGTCAGCATGGATGATGGCTTCCCCATTAGATTGGTCAGGGTTCTCTAGGGCAACAATTTAACGAATGAATCTCTCTATGTATAGAAAGGGGATTTATTAGAATAATTTACAGGTTGTGGTCCAGCTAAACCAATAATGGCTGCCTATGGTTGGAAGGTCCAAGAATTCAGTTGTTGTTCAGTCCAAAAGGCTGGATGTCTCAGCTGGTCTTCAGAATATGCCGGAATCCTGAAGGTGTAGGCTCTAATGCTTGTGAAGGAATGGACTTGATAGTGAGAGCAAGAGCAAGAGCAAGAGCAAGAGTTTCCTTCTTCCATGTTCTTTAGATAGGTCACCAGCAGTTTATATAGGAAAGTAGCAGTTTCCCAGATTAAAGGTGTGTCTTCTCACCTCAAAAGATCTGGAACGAAAAGTAGCTCTTCCCACTTCAAATGATCTAACTAAGCAAAAACCCCTCATAGTTGTGCCCAGCATGTTTGGGTTTTAGTTAATTCCAGATATAATCAAGTTGACAAGCAAGGGCAGCCATTATACCCATGGCTACATGGACAAAGCTCTTCCCTTAGCACCCTAGGCCCACCAGAAACCACAAGGACACATGCAATTAGAGTAGAATGCTGTATAAGTGTCCAGTAGGAGTGGCTGAATGTTCCGGTGAGAATCCAATGATCCTGCCCGTCCTCTCCTTGGCTCAGGTTTGTCCTGACAGACTTTTACAAGCAGGTACTGCCAATCTAGTGAAGATGATGGCTCAGTGGCCAGCGCCTTACAGCAGAAATGAAAAGCCAGCTTCCTTGGCAACCCTATCATCTGAAGCCCATACTCCTTGAGGTGGTGGGTGGTCTCTCCCATTTGAAAAATGAAGACAGAGGCTCACTAAGGTCACTTTGATAGTCTTGATTAGGCACATACTATATGACCAACTTCCATCATTGCTGGGCTTTCTCTGTGGCACCTAAACAACCTTAGTTTTCATCTTGCCCCTGAGTTTTGGTGCACATATCTGTCACCCATCAGATCCTAGGGTACCCTTTAGACAGCACTGGGCCTGCTAGTTCCTGCCAGCCCCATTCCATAACTTCGGGCCTGGAGGCTGGATCATGCTGTGTCTTGACAGCAAGTCAGAGGTGCTGTTTACAATTCATCCATCCTTTGGAATTACAGAGTCTGGTCCAGGGGCTTTTCAGACAGCCAGATCCCTGGATTGCCACCTGCAATGGCTACACTTGCAGTATTTGCAGGGTGCCAGCTAAGTCCTTTCATGTGTTCCTTGTCATCTCTAAATAGGCTACAAAACCCCAGTGTCGTCACCGCACTAAATGATGGGTACTGAATTGCTTAAGAGCAGTGACAAGGAGTAAAGAAGAGGGACAAGGAAGGAAATCTGAGTATGTTCGCTGCAGGCACAGATTTTTTTTTTCTTTTCTTTTGAGACAGGGTCTCATGTAGCCGAGGCTGGCCTCCAACTTGCTGTGTAGTTTAAAGTGGCCTTCAGCTTTTGACTCTCCTGCCTTTACCTCTTGAGTGCTGGAATTTCAGGTGTACATTACCTTGTCTGGTTTTTGCAGTGCTGGGATGGAACCGAGGACTCTGTGCGTGCTAGAGAAATATTATACCAACTGAGTGCCTCAGTTGTTTTTCTCCCCAAACATTTTTGATTCTTGGTTGGCTAAATCTTTGCATGTAGAATCTGCAGATCTGGAGTTCAACTGCACTCATTTGTCAGATGATGGAGGACTACATAACAGAGATGATAGCTAGGTAATAAATGACAGGCAGAGATAGATGGTTGATAGGTGATAGATGATAAGTAATAGATAACTGATAGGTAGATAGTGAATGAAAAGAAAAAAAAACAAAAGAAACGAAGAACATAACTGCTCCTAGGAGGCAGAGTGGAGGAGAATGTTTATTGTAGATAAAAGTGAGAGCATAGCACAGCAAGTCTAGAGTAGACATGGCCAGAATAAGATGGGCCATGTGAGAAGAGAGGATCAAGGGAGAGGAGAAAACCAGGCTAAGAGGCTAGAATAGTAAAGGGTATAGGAAAGAGCCAGGTAACTAAAATGGCTGGATTATATAGAGAAGAGCAGCTGGGGGAAGGGCAACCCAGACCTTGGGCTGAAGGAGTTTAGGGTAGAGGGTAGGCTATGCTAGTCATACCCTGTAACAGGAAGGGACCAAGGGGGCCTGGCAGCCAGGTCCGCTTTGATATGTTAAATAGGCACCTCAGCCATTTGTACCAGGAAGCACATGATAGATAACAGATAGATGGATGATGGACACAGATGCAGACACAAATGCAGAATAGACAAGAGAAAACAGACACACAGATAATAGACAATAAACAGGTAATGAGATAAACATATAGGTGGCAGCTATATACGCACATATCTGTAAATATATATATATATATATATACACACACACACACACAGATAGATATAGATAGATATAGAGAGGCTAGATGGTAAACAGAAGACAGAAGATGATTTAGATAGCTAATAGATGAGTCTGATATGTAGATCAATAGATGGGTGAGAGAAAACAGCTCAGCTACTGTCCTCTCTCCTGCAGATTTGGCATCACTCTTTCTACAGTGTCCTCCGAATTGCCCCTGATCAGCATCCCATAATGATAACAGAGCCGCCGTTAAACAAGAAGGACGTTAAATGGAGAATGACGCAGGTAATGGCGCCTGGAGTCCTGTTCCCTTCCTGCCCTTAAAAGTTCCCTGTCTCTGCCTTGGGCCTCATTCTGGTTCTTCCCACCATGATGGAGTTGGTGGTGGACCCCGGTCTGTGAGTGTTCCCACCAGAGCAGAGATGACAAAGTAGTCCTCAGGTGACAGTGGGGCTAGATGCAGTGGCTGCAGGAAGCTGCTAGCCTTCCTCCCCCCTGCCCTCCCCGCAGCCTCACAGCTGTCAAGAGTTCTCACCCCAAGGCTCAGCTTCTAAAGACACAGGGAGGTGAACTAAGCAGGCAGCTGAGCTGGCCCATCTGGCTGGCATCCCTGGAGCCCAGTGGGAGCTCCTGCAGTGAGTAGTCCCCCATATGCAGGGCGAGGACTAAGGCATGGTCTGCACATCTCAGAGATGTGTTTGCGTCCTAGACTGGGAAACAGCAGTTCTGCCCGTCATGGTGCAGGCATGAGCTTACATCAAACCAGCCCCAAACTGGCCACTGACAACCCCACCCCCACTCCTCAGTGTGGATAATCAAATCACGGAAATGGCCACAGCTGGGTCCCCTGAGCACTGGGAATGGCAGGTTTCACCCAAAAAGCATCCAATGTCCAAGAGGGTTTCAGCAAACTAGAGAGGGCTAAGAGAGGCATGAAACTGCCCCAGCCCAGCTGCCCGTGCCACTCCACAGCTGTAGCAGATAATGGAGCAAGAGTGTGTGCACCAACAAGGAGGCCCATGAGGAACTGTAAAGGCAGGGGCGGAATAGCCGAGCTCAGCTGGAGGCTGTGGGTGCTGCTCTCTGAGGAGCCCAGCAGGACAGAGACACATGCAGATGAAAGTTCAAGTCTATCCCAGAGCAGAAAAGCCCACGATTGGCTCTCATGGCTGGGGCTTTCCCCTTTGTCTTCTCCTCCTCCTTGGACAAACCACCTGCTCTCCTCAGCCCCTGACTCAGTCTCACTTGTCTAGATAGAGACTTACAGGTCTACTCACAGCAAAGTGGCTTCCTACAAACAGTTTCAAGCAGCCCTTTCCGGGGCCACACCTTCAGGTATGAAAGTGATCAGTGGTGATCAGTGGTTGCGAGCTGTCTGTGGAATAGTCATCATTCCTGCAGGTGTTCCTGGGTGGTATAAGAAAGCTAGCTTGAGGCCTGAGCCTTTGAGGAAGCCAGCAAGCATGGTTCCTCATGCTTGGGGATGCAGGGCTCATCATGGACTTCCCTCGGTGATGAACCATGACCAGCAAGTATTTACCCAATAAACTTTTTCCTCCCCTAAGCTGCTTTGGTCAGAGTGTTTTATCACAGCCACAGAAAGAAACTAGACCAACTGTTTAGGAGCAGAGCTGGATGGAGATGGGTGCTGCCCACCCTGGGCTTAGTCTCCATGGAGCCACAGCCTGCTGCAAGATGTACTCAGAGCGCTGGAGCAGTGTGTGTCACCTGGCCAGCTAGCATGCCAATTTTCCTCCCCAGATCCTATTTGAAACCTTCAACGTCCCTGCCCTGTTCCTGGCTAATCAATGTGTCCTCTCCTTATACGCTACTGGCAGAACCTCTGGTGAGTGGCCCTGTGGGATTCCTGTTCTTCCTAGCACAGTGTCTAGTTCTTGGGGCTAGGGAGACTCACCGCAGCCTGCAGCCTCTCCTTGAAAGAAAAATAAAAAGGCAGGAGGCAGGACAAGGTGGGTCAATGGGTAAAGGAGCTTGCTGCCAAGCCTAATGACCCAAGTTCAATCCCCAGGACCCACATGGTGGAAGGAGAGAACTGACTCCTGAAGACTGTCCACTGACCCCCACGTATGTGCAGGCATGTGACTGAACAACACAGACACATGCACACACACACACACACACACACACACATACACACACACACACACACACACACACAAGCAGCTGTTCATTGAAAAAAAAAAAGCAAAGAACACTCTTCAAGGCTCACAGTTATCCTCACTTCATAATTAGAACACTGTAGACTCAAGAGTAGCGAGCAGTGAAGCAAAATGCAGAATAGTTCATGTGATAATTTGGTGTAAAATGTGGTCTTTGTTTTTTGGGGTTTGTTTGTTTTTGGTTTGGTTTTGGTTTCTCTGTGTAGACTAGGCTGGACTGTCTCTGCCTCCTTGAGTGCTGGGATTATAGGTGTGTGATACCATGCCTGTCTGTTTTTGTTTCTTAAAAAATATTTTTAATTCTCTCTCTCTCTCTCTCTCTCTCTCTCTCTCTCTCTGTGTGTGTGTGTGTGTGTGTGTATCTGTGCACAGTGGCCTCAGAAACCAGAGGCATGGATCCCCTGGCACTGGAGTTAAAGGCATTTGTGAACCCCCTGACAGGTCCTCTGCAGCAGGTTTTTATGGCCCCTGATTGCAAACACACCCCTGCCCTCTGTATCCTGTAAGCTGGTTCTCCAGAGTTAAACTCTTCTCCCTCCTCTACCATAGTCCCCTCCCTCAACTCCTTGTCTGCTTGGGGACCCAGATTCCCCTCCCCTTTTTAGATACTCAGACTCAGTCACCTGGCAGTCTATAATGTTTCAACCTAAGTTAAACTAAAATACAGTACTTTCCAGTTGCTAGCTGGGGAAGACAGAGCCTAGTGCTTCCTTCTCTGTGGACCTCTGCTAAGCTCTGAACAAACCATAGAATGAAAATGGACCATAATGAATTATTTCTCACACGCACCCGGTTCCTGTTCTGACTCCTTCCATTTTTCCCTCTGGTGACACAGAATGCTCCCAGGATGTAGACATTTGCTGGCCTCATTTTTTTTTTTTCTTAACCAATATTCTAAAGTGTTACTGAATGAAATTAACAGCATTAATGAGCTCTGACACATGGGTGTGCTCACAAAAACATCGAAGTCATAGACAAGGATGCCGCTGTGCCTTTCTGCCCCTCCCACTCGTTATATTTTGTAGCATTTTGTGAATGGAACTGTGCAGCCAGCATGAGATCATCACTCGTTGTTTTGCACTTTGTTCACTGTGTGGAGGTTCTTTCACGCTGTCACTGGCATCAGTAGCTCACTTCCTCTTCTTACTGAGCCATGATAGTGTGGTTCCATTTCAGGAAAGTGCTGAGCTTTTGTCTACTTATCCGTGAATGGCTGTTTGTGTGTGTGTGTGGGGGGGGGGCGGGGGGTTATGCTAAAGCCCCTGTAAATGTTTGCAAGTCTCTTCCCGTCCCGTGTGGAACGTCAGTGGCCCTCCATGGTTCTTGCACAGCTCTGCTGTATTATCCCTTTTCTGTGTCAAGATACCTGACAGAAGCAGGTGAAGTAAGGAAGGGATGAAGGCTCACAGTGTGAAGGCTCACAGTGTGAAGGCTCACAGTGTGAAGGCTCACAGTGTGAAGGCACTGCCCGTCGTGGCAGGGAAGGCATGGTGGTAGGAGCTTACGGGCTGCTGGCCACATAGCAGACAGAGATGGTGGCTGGGGCTCAGCTCACTTTCTTCTTTGTGTTCAGTCTAGGATCCCAGTCCACTGGATGGCGCCACCGGCATTCAGGGTGTGGCCTCCTTCCTCAATTAACCCAACCCTGAAGCTTCCTTACAGACTTGCCCAGAGGCTTGCCATCTAGGTGATTCTAGATCCTGTCAAGTTGACCATACTAACTATCCCGACTGCCAGCTCTCTGAATGGCCAGTATTATTGTGCCCATTCTCATGGAGGTGCAGTGGTGTCTCCTCCAGCTTTTGATTTGAGCCCCCCTCACAGCCAAGGACACTGAGCATATCCTTTTGTGTTTGTTGACTCTCCATGTCTACTTCAGTGGTGGAGTGGCTCTCAGGTTTAACCAGATTCTCATGAATTCACTTGTGCATTTTGACAGCTCTTTTTCCAGTCCTGTTTACATGTCTTTTACCAGCTATATGGGTTCCACTTCTCTTCCCACTGTCTTTTTAAGAATAGGTATTAATTTTTACAGAGTTCCATTTATCAGTGTTTTCATGTTTGATGCCACACCCAAAAATAATTTGCTGGACCCAAAGGCTTTCGGCTCTCTTCTAGACATTTATAGATTTTAGTTTAACATTCAGTTCTATGGTCCATTTTGAATGGATTGTTGATGTATCCTATAAGATAGGAACAAAACGTGTGTTTATTGGAAAAGATCCATCTTAGCTGTGGACAATAGAAGGGTACTGAGTGAGGGAGGGTTACTCTCCTTTGGGGTGTCAACACACACACACAAAAAAAAACCACAGCTCTAACTTTAAAGGAATAAAAAGTTTATTATGGAGCCATTTTAAGAAATAGTGGCTTAAGAACATAGATTTAGGTTATTACATCTCCCAATGTACAAGCATTTTCATGACATTTTATAGTTTTTTTAAAATTTAACTTAATTTTATTAATTACTCTTTATTCACTTTGTATCCCCCCATAAACCCCTCCCTCCTCCCCTCTTGTTCCCACCCTCCCTCCCCTTTCTTCACTCATGCCCCTCCCCAAGTCCACTGATAGGGGCTTTCCTTCTCCTTCCTTCTGATCTTAGTCTATCAGATCATATCAGGAGTGGCTGCATTGTTATCTTCTGTGGCCTGGTAAGGCTGCTCCCTCCTCAGGGGGAAGTGATCAAAGAGCAGGCCAATCAGATTATGTCAGAGGCAGTCCCTCTTCCTATTTCTATGGAACCCACTTGGACACTGAACTGCCATGGACTACATCTGTGCAGGGGTTCAAGGTTATCTCCGTGCCTGTTACTTGGTTGGAGTAATAGAACAAAGAAAGTCAAATCAAGGCAAATTTAAAACACCTTGGTGAGCATATCAGAGAAGCAGGAACAGCAAGATGAGGGAAGCTTTTCTATAGGCCCAAGATACTTATCTGATGACATTCTTACCTTTTGGGTTAATGGATCTGCGGATTTGCTAAGTTAATATATTTCATTAAAAAAAATCTGATAGTCACAGGACTTTAGTTCCAACACAGAGGTGGGCAAGAAAAGGCTGTTCCAGGTGCTAAAGCTAGCCTGAGATAAGGTAATTAGTCTCCAGGCCTGCAATATTCCAGTCTCTATAGTGATGAAGTTCTAATCAGTCAGTCATCCTTTTCAGACACAGCTTCTTTTCAGAAGTTCTCGTTCACAGGGGACATAGCTGCTAGTGGGTCCCTGGTCCCTTAGGCATGTCCATGGGCATAAAGACAGCACTCAGAACCCTGAGAGGTCAGGGTTGTAAATGACAACAACAACAAAAAAATGTGGATGACATGAAGTTGGGAGTAAGAGGGGTGAGCTACCAAAAGAGTTGGAGGTAGGTAAGGAGGGATGTGATCCAATGCATTGTATAAGTATACATTTTTCAAAGGATAAATTAAAATATTAAAAAAAAGAAAGAAGGGGGATAGAGAGATGGCTCAACAGTTAAGGGCACAGGCTACTCTGTTGAAGGACCAAAGTTCAATTTCCATCACTCTCATGGAAGCACACAACTGTCTGTAACTCTAGTTCCAGAAGATCTGAGTAGTCTCTCTTCTGGCTTTATGGAAGAGCACCAAGCAGGCATGTGTACACAAACCACACACACACACACACACACACACACACACACACACACACAGGCACACATGCACAGGAAAAACACTTACACACATAAAAATAGATCATTAGAAAAAAAAAGAAAGGAAATAGAAGAGACCTATTTGGGACTGGAGGCAGAGACAAGAGGGCAAGAGGAAGTGGAAGATGGACAACATGACCAAACTAGCAAGCATAGAACTGTCTCAGTGAAACCTGTTATTTTGCACCATTAAATAAGTAAATCAACCACATTTTGTAACCTAAAATAGAGAGAGAGAGGAGAGAGACAAGATTCATTTTCCTTTCTTGAAAAGCCTTGTGTGCTTTTTGATGAGTTTCTCACGTATGTGCCAGCTGACCTCTCATGGCGCGGTTCCAGCAAATCTCTCTTTTCAAACCTTTTTTTTTTTTTTCTGATTCTAAATGGATACCACATGATTTTGATATTCTGGTGCACTCTGAGTCTTTAAATGAGGAGAAGTTTGTCCTACCCTCTGGATGTCTTGATTTTGAAATGTGGGCTTTGCTAGGTCTTAGGCATGCCTGCATGGATTTTAAGGTCAGGTTGTCAGGTTCTGAAAACAAGAGAAACCGAAAACCAACCAACCAAAAACTGTCAACGCCACACCCCTTTGGGTTCGCTTGGGGCTGTGTTGAAAGCATGGTCAATTTTGAAAGAGTCAGAATCTTAAACCATGGACTGTGGTGTGTCTGAGAGGTCTGGGTCTCTCTTGGCATTTCGATGGGACTTGCAGTTGTCCAGGCCATGTCTGTCATCAGATGTCATCAGATGTATTGCTAAGTGTCTCACATGTTCTGATGCTGTTGAAAGTGGCATTATTTGTTACGGTTTGAGTGTGAACTGTCCCCAGCAGGCTTGGGTTATCATGGGGTTGTCAGTGACAGGATTTGGGCAGTGACTGGATCCCAAGGGCTCTGATTCCTGATGGAACAACAATCCTCCAGGTTGGGAGGTGATTGGAGCTGAAAGAAAGGTCTGCTTGGGGGAATAGGTCAATGGCGGCATGTCCCTACAGAGTCTGTCTGTCCCCTGCCTTTGTTTCCTCTTTTTTTTTTTTTTTTTTTTTTTCTGTCTACCATTTATGAGCACATCTGCTGTTGCCCATGTTCCTGCCATGGTGCTCAGACTCTCAACATGGGGCCAGCTGCATTGACAATCAGCCAAAAATCTTCCCTCCCTTTAAATAATTCCTCTCTAGTAATTGTCACAAGGATGAAAAACTAACATCTTTCGATGACAATCGAATGTATGTTCATGTATATATGTGCGCATGCACATTTCTCTGTGCTGTGTGTCTGTGGGCATGCGTGTGTGTGTGTGTGTCTATATACTTGTAAATATGCATGTAACTTTCTGCTTTATTTTATTTTATTTTTTAAACACAATGTCTTGGCTCAATGAACCTAGAGTGGAACTAATTGATTGACCTGACTGGCTGGCTAATGCACTAGAGCGGCCAACCCATCTCTGTTCCCTAACCCCAACCACCCAGAGCTAGGGTTACAGACATGTGTCCCCACCCTCAGCATTTACATAACTGCTGGGGTCTGAACTCACGCATGTGCTGAAGGCTCTGGCCAACTCCATCATCTCTTCATTTCTGATTGCTCATTGCTATTGCATGGGTAGCAGTTGATTTTTGAACATAGATATTGTACCCTAATACTCTAACTAAATTCATTTTTTTGTAGATTTTGTAAGATATTTACTTAGCAAATGTATACTATTATTTGTTTGTTTCTATAGAGGGTTTCTCTGTGTTGTTGCCCTAGCTATTCTGGAACTCACTCTGTAGACCGTGATGGTCTCAAACTCAGATATCTCCCTCTGCCTCCCATGTGCTGAGATTAAAGGTGTGTGCCAGCACTGCCTGGCAAAGAAATATTCTTAAATTTTTTTTAAACTACATTATTTATTCTGTGTGTGCCACAGCATATGTGTGACAGTCAGAGTGCAACTTTTGAGAGTTGATTCTCTCCTTATATCATGTAGATCCTAGGAATTGAACTCAGGTCTTCAGGCCTGTTGGCAAATGCCTTAATCTTCCTTCCTACACCATCTGGCCAGCCCCATGGCAAATACATTTTTTGACAAATAACATTTACTTTATTATTTCCAAGCCAGGTGGATTTTTTTCTTTTTTCTTTTTTTAATTGTTTCATTCTTTTCTATTGACTGCCTGGGCTTTACTGTCCTGAGTGGAGGCAGTGAGGATACAAATCCTTGTCTTTTCCCCAGTTTTAGGGAGAGAACATTCAGCTTTATAGTATTAAAGCTGTGGGTTTCATATTTTCTTCACTAACTTAAGTAAGTTATCTTGTGTTCTTGTATGCTGAAAATTTCATCTTTTACTGGATTTTGTCAAAATGCAATTTATGCGTAGTGATATTAGAGTTGAAAATTTGCTAAAACCTCGAGTCACCTGGGAAGAAGGTCTCAGTGAGGGACTGTCCGAATTCTATTTGCCAGTGGGCACTGTCTTCCGGGGTTGTTGTAAGTTAATGGATGTGGGAAGACTCAGCCCACTGTAGGTGGCACCATTCCCTAGGCAAAAGTGTCCCGAACTGTATATGTGGGGAAACTGTATGTGTGGGGAACTGAGTACAAGCAAGCAAGCAAGTGAACATTCATTTCTCTCTGTTTTTGACTGTGGATATGATCTGACGAGCTGTCTTAATTTCCCAATATGGTGGACTGTAAGCTGAAATAAACCTTTTTTTGTCTCTTAAGCTGTTTCTGTCAGGGTGTTTTTAGTCACAGCCACAGAAACAAAGCTAGAACAAGTATTTATTGAATACATGAATAAGCATATGAATTCTTTCCTCTTCTTTAAGATGAATTAATATTGATTTCGAGCTATGGAACAAAGGCCATTTAATCATTTAATTCTTTTAAACTCCATATTATTGAAATTTTCCAAAATTTCACTTTGGAAATTTTTTTTTTTTTGGTCTGTGCTCATGAGTAGCAATGGCCCACTGTGTTCCTCTCCCATTCCTGAGGGATCATAGTGTTATGGGCACATGATGGCCAATGTTCTGGAAATAGCCTGTCATTTTTAGCTGTTGTAGGTGAGAGGGGACCAACTCTCCATCCCCTTTCACAGCTGGAAGAGGCTTTAATTTTGCTTAATTGAAGTGTGCAGTAGACCCCTTAACATGAACCCCTTAGCATGTCACACTATCTCTGAACTAGCACACCCAGGGACTTTGCTAACTAAAGCACACAACCTGGGCATAGTGTTCAAGCTTTCCAAGCACAGGGCACCTCCCAGAGAGTCCTAGTGCCTACCCAAGTACAGGCAGCAGTTCCTTTCTTATCTCCCTGGCAGCTTTTTGGTAAAATTGTGTGTTTGATTTAGCAAGAAAACCTATGGGCTTATAGCCAAAGCTGGTAGTCAGCTTCTATTCTAGTTCATATCTTTTGGGAGGAAGCTGGCTCCTTGGCCCCTCTCCCTTCCCTTCTGTTATTCCCCTCCACCATCCCTTCCTACAGAATTAACAATGGACAGGATGTGCTGCGTGCCCCACATCATAACTACAGAATGTTCACTTACATAGGAACAGCTATTGAATCAGGAGAGGGGATGACATACTTTGTGCCCATCATGAATGGCTATCCTTTGGAACTGTCGACCACCAGGATGGAGGTAGCTGGCTTCGATCTGACCCAGCATCTCATGAAGCTGCTGTCAAACAATGGAAAATTTTCCGTGACCACAGGTAGGAAACAACTATTCTCAGACGCATGAACCTGTGCTGTGTACAAGGTCCTTCACTTTCCGTGCATTTGTGTATAGGTGCATCCAGAGATTGGAGGACAGTTGAAGGACAACCTCAGGCATCGGCCTCAAGAATACTGTCCACCTCTTTTAAGACAGGCTCTCCTATTGTCTTGGAGCTTGTCTATGAATCTGTTGCAGAAGAGAGTTAACTGGTACCCTGTAAGCAGCAAGGGTCTTGGGTCTTTGGCTAAGGGCTTAGACAGGTTAATGCTTTGTCCCCCTTTGTGCCCTCTTCCTGGGCTAGATTCTTAGTTTATGCAATATGCATGACACCTGCCTCCAACAGGCCGCTGGCCTTTCTGGTCTTAGAGAAGGAGTCAAAGGTTGAGCCCTGGAGCCTTATAGAGTCGATTAGAAGGAAGGTGAGAACTGGTCAGGCATTTTCCTGGCTGCCCACTCTTAGCAAGGATGTGCACCATCCATCCATCTGTTCTCCTGGCACACTCCCAAATGCTGATTTATGCTCATCCTTGCAGATGAAGGAAGTTTAAAAAGAATAACAAACAACAACAACAACAACAAAACATAAAAAGGCAAAATGAAAAAAAAAAAAACAGTCATGCTTTGCTTCCAGCTAGGATCTCAACTGGTGAATCCTAAGGGGGGAACCGAGGTGGGAACAGCTGAAGTGGAAGAGCTCTCAGGTGCTGTGAGCATAACCAGAACAAGACTCCCAGGAGGCAGGCTTCAGTGAGACTGTTTAATAGGGGGAACAAAGGCTACTTAAGCCTTTGGAGTTGGTAGGGGCTCTCAGGGCGAGTGTGCATCACTGGCAATGGCCAGGGTGCTGGGGATGCCTCATTTGCATAAGGCGGAATTTCAGGAGCTGCCTGGAAGTTTCACGTGGCTACTGAGCTATGTGACTTGGTGGGGGGTGGGAGGAGGCAAAGGTGGTGTGTGTCACAGGGCTATGTGTGCTGGGACACACAGGGCCATGTCAGGGTGGGGAGAAATCTTATTCCTGCTGCTCTCAGGACGAGATTTCTGGGGTTTCAACGCACCTTGACCCCGTCTTGCTCCAAGCCGGCTTCTACCGTCCCAGAGCTCCTCAGTCTCCTCAGTCTCACAGACTGACTAATTTACCTAAACCCAAGTAAACAGCAGAGGTAGGTGGGATGTGATCTAGAGTTGTCTCACCAAAAGCCAAACCAGGTAAAGGAGAGGAACATTAGGATACAGCAGAGTCCCTGAAGCCAGGGACAGGGAAGGGAGAAGCAGACAGTGCCAACACTGGAGGGAAGGAACAGGGGAGCCTCCAGGCTTTGAAAAAAGCATGGAAGAAGCATGGGCAAGGAGGTTCGGTTAGGCCAGGAGTGACATATACCTATAATCATGACACTGAAGGTGGAGGCAAGAGGATTAGGAGTTCAAAAACATCTTCAGCTAAAGTAGGGTGGAGGCCAGCATGGGCTACATGAGACCCTGTTTCAGAAGAAGATAAAGAGGGAAGAATAGGAAAGGAGGGGTGGGCAACTGGAGTAAAAGGAAGAGGTGGGGGGGAGGGGAGGAAGACCAAGAAGAGGAGGAGGGGAAAGAAAAAGGAGAGGAGAAGAAGGAATAAGAGGGGGCATGAAATGAGGAGGAGGAAGAGGAGGAAGAGTTAGAGGAAGAGATGAAGGCATTGGAAGAATTGGAGAAGGTGTTGGAAGAGGAAGAAGGGCTGAAGGAGATGAGGTGGAGGATAAAGTGGAAAAGGAGGAACTGGAAGAGGATGGGATGGAGGACTTGGGTGAGTTGGAGGAGGAGGGGATAGAGTGGGTGGATCAATGGAAAGTGGCAGCTGACAGTCTGCAGGTTTGAAGAGCAGGTGGGGTCTCCAGGTGAGCAGTGCAGGGAAGTCCCTTTTATTCAAAGCTCCATGACAACAGCAGATAAAATGTAAAAGCCTAATCAAAAGGCATATCTGGGTTTCAAACCTGTTGTCAGAAAAGAAAGGGGCAACACTTGCCAGGTGTTTCCAAGGAAGAGGCCTCAGAGAACAGCAGGCATGGGGGTGTTCCATAAGCTCAGGTAATGAATGTGAGTAGGATTTCTTGGCCCCACAAACACCATACATGGCAGAGGTGCAACTTAGGCAATGCTGAAGAGACCCACCTTTGTGCCTCTTGCCAAGAGAGGGCTACTTCCTTGTGCTCCCTGCCCTTCGAAAGCCTGGCCCACAGCCTGTCCAAGACCCTGCTGAAGGTCTTTCTTGCCTTGTAGCTGAGCAAGTCTACATCCGAGACCTGAAGGAGAAACACTGCTATGTGGCACTGGACTATGACATGGAGGTAGCAAAAACCTCACATCCCAGCTACCAGAAGAAACTCCAGTTGCCAGATGGCAAGGAAATCATACTAGGGCAAGAGGCTTTCATGTGCTCAGAAGGGCTCTTCAACAGCAGCCTCCTTGGTGAGTCCAGGATCAGGGTACAGTGGTCCAATAGACACTTGGCCCAGAAGGCTGTCAGAAGGAAGGTGTGGGGGGATGCTGGCAGGGCACCCTGCTTTAGGAGCAATGCCTCTTGCTCTAACGTTTCCCAGGGAGTGGCTGTCACTCACTCACTGCCTCCTATTCTCCTGTCACTTAGCTGACACTTTAACTTCTCTTCGAAGGTCTCAGCCCAATTGTAGATGGGTTGGAGGGCAACAGAGCACCACTCTCTTCCATAGTGTGCTATTTATAATCTCTCACTGTATATGAAGACAGCTGAGACAGAAACACAAGAAACAAAAGTTCCTGAGAGCTTTAAGCATATGAATGGCCAGAGAGTAGTTATTGTTTATTATTATTATTATTATTATTATTATTATTATTATTATTATTATT